CGTTGTTATCGTAACCTTTTTTACCAAATTTACAGAAATCTAAGACAAACAATTTTCGAATAATTTGTTAGGTACTTAATAGCTTATATATATTTATTTTAATAATCAAATTGAACGATTAATTAATTTGATTAAAAAATTTATTTTCCATATGCTCTTATAATATTAGTCGGGCACTGGAAAGTCGCTTTGATATTTTTCCCAGATAGCCACCGAATAAGTTGGGGTGTCGTTTCTGGCTGGGACCCAGCTAAAAGCCCGAACAGAGCCCGGGTTAAGTCTGAGCTCCCTTCCCATAGCACGGCCAGCGACCAACTTTAATGCGCGTTCCACACTTAAACCTTTTGGAGATCCGACACGACGCGACGTACCCCCTCCAGTGACTCTGCGCGTAGGGGAAGTGAGTGTTTTTCAATTAAATGCTTCTCGCTTTAAATCATCTTTAAGTGTTTACAAATGTTTTTCAACCTTGTCAATTTCTTACGAATGTCAATCTGTAGTCATATTTATAATTTTTTCAAAATAATTAATTTGTTTACTTATAAGTATATATTACCAAATCTATTTGACATTTAATCAAGTATTAATTGATAAATTTTTTTAATGGAATTAATTATTATTGTTTAAAAGAACATTTGTTTCAATTTATCGTTAATAATGAATTTTCTTTTTTAAACATGTATTTTTCATAAATTAATTTTATATACATATAAACAGTAATAAATAATATATTAGGTAGGCGTTTTATAAATATATGTATAGGTGGCCTTCAATAAAAATAGCGTTATTTATTTTTGATTTTACGGAATTTTCATTTTACTGTATTTAAAAATGAATAGTTTTAAATTTCAGAAAAAATATTACATTTCGACATAAATTATTTTTATTTTTACATTTAAATTTTAAAATGAAATTATTCTATTAATTTAATGTTACTTAATAGAAGTAAATGTTATTTGTTTTAAATACAAAAATAAATCGGTATGAATACAGTTAATTTATTATAATAGTTAATAATTGGTTAAAATAAATAATTACTTAATTCAAATTCCCAAAATTTTCTGAAACATATTAAATCTTTTATATTTAACATATGATTTAATTGTTGTTATAAGAATAATAATTTACTTTTTATATTAACGATGATTAAAAGCGAGAAGCATTTAACTGAGAATCACTCACTTCCCATATGCGCAGAGTCACTGAAGGAGGCACTTCGCGTCGTGTCGGATCTCCAAATGGTTTAAGTGTGGAACGCGCATAAGTCGGGCTACCCGGCCATGGCACGGCTAGCGCCCAGATTCATTTTCCACACGGGTAATTTATTGAATAAACTTACCTTAATTTTGCAGATTCATAGTCAATGATATCCTGATAAATAGTATTAATAATACAAAATTAGACAATTTTTAATTCACTAAAAGGTAAATAGTATATTAAGAATACTAGATGTGAGAGATCTAATTGAGCATACAAATTTTTGAAAAAAATATTTATTTAAAAAATAAAATTTATTTTTAATTTTTATCGGGCTCCGTTTAAGCTGAAAAAATTCATAAACATTTCTTAAAAGTGTTTATCCACAGAAATGCAAACCTCTAGAGAAAAATAATTAATTCAAATTTAAATAATTAAAATATAATTACCTATTAATTGTATTTTCTGAAAGATGAGATATCAAATTTCAAGAAAGAAATTCAAAACCTGCAGAAGGGTATAAGCCGAATAAGCGTAGAAAAATTGCCCCCGCACGTATTTTTCTCATATTATTATTACACTGAAAAAAATTTGGGTGGGCAGACGTCTCAGCGTTGAGAGCGCTGCGTTTCTTTGCTCAAAGTATGACTGAGATTCTTTTCGGGGAGCGGTGTGCTACCTGTACAGGAGAAACAGATGTCTTATTGACAAGGTAAGGCTATGAAGCTACGGGTAGTCTGAGCTCCCGCAACGGGATGTTAGCTGATCGAAGAAGGGGTCGTTAGCGTTCTGCGAATTGATAGAGCAGCTGTACTTGCTGGTACTGCTGCTTACCCGAATTTCTTTCAGTGTATATTGGCAAATTTTGCTAAATTATATACAAAGTAACATTTATGTACAGTATTAGAACAAAATATTTATTTGAGAATTAGTTTTATACGTTAAAAAGTGAAAAAATGCTTATATTTCATTTGCAACTCTTAAAAAAGTTAATATTCTTAACGTTTTTATTTTTGAGGCGTGTAAAATATCACATCAGCTACTATGGAAATATCTAACAGACATATTTTCTCAACAAATTTTCACTATATCATTAGTGTGCCACCACTGAAATTAAAGATACGAAGGTTTGATTGAGTGGTACCACTTTTTAAGAAAATTCAATTGAACGTCTACTTATGAAAATATCTATTACGGTGTTGGATAAAAATAAAAGTTCAATCATTTTCTAAAAAGATGAGGAAAAAAACAAAAATTTTAAGATTTTTTCAATGATGTGCCTCTAATTGTATTCCTGTGGCAACAATTTAAAGATGATAATAAAAATCGTGATTTCATTTAAATTTATACATTTTTGAAAGGCATAACAGCTATTTTGCTTTAAACAAGTCAATCTATGGTGTGATCGAAACATTCTCACACATATATTGGAACACAAGATTTTGAGTGAAATAAATTTTATTAAGTTAAGAATATGCTGAAAACACTTTTTTGGAGTCTTTACCCCCTTTTCTCAAAATCCTGACGTTCTAAGCAAATCTGGGTGACAGAATCGTGTTCAGAGGACGAAAATACTTTAGAAACCACTCCGATATCAAAAATAAAAAAAGTCTAATTTTTCAAGTTTATATGTAATTTATTAACATTAAATAGTTTAAAGAGTTAAAAATTGAGGGCGTAAGCTAAAAATGAAACACGCATATGAATTTGTAGTGCTAAAATGTACTTAAACATGTATACATAGTGACATCAATGTGCCTGAAAATTAAAAAAAGAAATTATTTTTTCTTGAAAGTTAAAAGTTTCGTAGGTTTGCCCATATATTCCCACCCACATGAATATAACTTTTTGAAATCTACTCAAAATTTTGCGTATTTTGGGAGTTCTGGAGGGAGAAAGAAAAATAAAAAAACGCATTTTTCTCAAAAACTACTGGATGGACTTTTATGAGCTTTGGATATGTTACAGAGGCAAGTAAAAAGATTATAAGAAAATTCTCAAAATTTTTTCAAAAAAACTTAAAAATTTTGGATTTTGAAATTTTCAAAAATCTTTTTTGGGTTTCTATTGAAGTGGTACACCAAATTTTTTTAACCATTTTTCTCTCCTAAGTGTCCCACTTAATAAAAAATCACACCCTACATGATTTCAAAGTGCGTTACACAGTGGTACAAATTGCGCATCTATCTGGACAAAATTCAAAATTTTTGTGTCTTCAAAAAATATAAACGCTATAGGAATAGTATGTTCAGTTGTTCAATATTAATGTATGAATGTTCGTTTTTTAGAAAAATAACATTCTTTATTTAAAAACAATTTAAACATTGACATGCAATGCAAATCTTAGTTTGCTTAAAAATTACAGTCAACACATATCTTCTAAATCATACAATTATGCAATGCCTTTGAAACTAATAAAGTAAAATTCTTTTTTGGAGTAAACTAGAGGTATTATCCTGCATGTAAAAATTATTTTAAACATTTTTACTTAATATTTTCTGTATCTATGATCGCTATGTATAATGGACAAAATTATATAATTTAAAATTTATTTTATTTACTTCGAAGGACCAGAACTTTTGGAGCCTGTGCTGGACCGTTGTAAACCTATTTTTGATGTCTCAAGTACCTATTATGGTGTTATATTATGCTTTGTTTGTACCCATCTTCAGCCACCTTTTTTTAAATTTTCAATTTGAACTTCCGGATGTCTGATATGGTTTAAATGTTAAATATCTTTCTAGCATATCTACTGACTTAAATAATCTGATAGTTGGTACTCATGAGAATTTTTAGTCGCTGATTACGAATCTGATGTCAGTTTTTAAAAATTCAAAATGGCAGCACTAATATAGTGGACGATTTTAAAAAAAATGTTTAATTTCTATGAAAGTCGATATATCTAGGGTTTTTGGGAATCGATGGTTATGAATATAATGTTAGTTTATAAAAGGCAATACAAAATAAAAAATATTTATTATTAATTATTATTTTTAAAAATGTACAGAATGATTCTATTGTTTACATTTAGTTGAATAGAAATTATATGTGAAATCTACCCAAAAACTCTTAGGTATTTAGTTTTATGGAAATCGAACAATTTTGTTTTAAAAGTCCGACATTTTTAATTTTTAAAAAGCGACATTAAATACGTAATGAGTTATATCACATAAATATGATTGGAATATTTTTTGGAATATTCCTGTGATATACAACGTAAACCAATACCCCAATAATTAGCAGTATTAAATATAAAGCGTGGTAAATACGGGACAAGTCTTCATGGGACATTCTTCCCTAATAATTAGCAGTTTAAAGTAGCGTGTTCTGACGAGACATCTTTCCCCAATAAAAAATTTTTCAATAAAACGTGGTAATGGTGGTAGAGACATCATGTTAGATGAGAATTAAAATTATAAAAAGTTGTAAAAGTTTAATTTTATGTGATGAAAAGTATTTTTTATGGTGCTTTGAAATAGAACATAATTTTTTTTGTATGATGCGATAAAAACAAAATTTTTTGTTTAAATATCAATATAAATAAGTTAACAACAAATTTTTTGTTACCTTAATTATACCCGTGTAGAAAAATCTTCTAGAACGCCTAGAGTCAAGCTTGGCGCAACCTAGAAAGCGTCTAGAATCGCTAGTCTGGAAGATCTAGCTTGGCCCAGTTCTGGTGCTACTCAGACACTAGTCAGACCCTGAATAGCGTCGCTAGTCTGAAAAGTCTAGCCAGACCTAGATCTGATGTTAGACAGAAACTCTAGATACCTAAAAAATTTTATTTTGTAATTTCTAGACTGTGTCTACCAATGCTGGTTCGGAAAGTCTAGTCAAACCCAACTCTGGTGCTGGACAGAAGTAATAGATGACAATAAATATTTATTTTGTAATTTTTAGACTATGTCTAGTGTTACGTCTCAAATAGAGAAATAACTAACGAAATAATACTTTATTTTATTTATGGCCGCTCGGTGATTCAGTGAATTCCTGTTTCATTTACAGAGCAGAAGGCTCTAAACTAAGGGTACAGGAAAGAAAGAGAATAGTAATTAATTTTATAATTAGGTTACAATTTATTTAGACAAGTATTTTTAGTTACAACAATTCGTTCTTATGAGAGAGAGGGAATCTTAAACCAACCAATCCAGGAAATAGAGAGTTCAGCATTCAACTGAAATGAGGAATGCAAGGGTGACTACAAATATACGACAAGTTTAGAAAAGTTAGGAGTGAGACTATAAAACACTTACTTTAAAATTCAGTAGTAGGTGTGTTGAAAGAAAAAGGACCACTGCTGTGTCCTTTGTTGTCACAGGAATAGAGCTGGTACCAGCGTGAGTTTATGACGTCCGGAAGGTTGACGGGCCCAGGTATAACCGCAGGTCCGGAGTTCTATTAGGCGTGATGAATCTCCCAATAATGAGTCTCTTCCAAATAAAGGAAGAATAGATAATTGCCCAATGTAATAAGAAGTAATGATCCTCGTTTAATGTAGAGGGTTTTGACACTTGATTTTCACTTTCGTATAAGAGAATTATGCACTTGAACTAGAAGACGTCGACTGGTACCAAGAATGAGGTTGATGTTATACGTATGAAGATGAATTGAGAACTGATCTCTCCATGAAAATGTAGTCCTTTTATACTGAGTTTTCGTAAGAGAATAGATAAAATTTTATTGTCGTACTATATATTTTTCGCCCTTATTTTGGAAGCCAAAGTTAAGTCCTTCTCTCTCAGTTGTACGTAAAAAAAGGGGGTGTTAACCATTCTAATACAAGATAGAAAGAGTACGACTACGGTTATTCGCAGCTGTAGAAGAGTGTTTATGGTCTTCTAATGTGGTGATACCACAGGGGTTCGTCACATTGGAAAATTAGAAAGAGAGCATATATTACATCGTCTGATTTTAGCACATAGGGAAAATTAGAAAGAGAGCATTTTGTTTCGTGGGGGTGTGAGCTCTTCTAGTGTCATAAAAGATTTCTCGCTTCTATTTGTATGTTTTAGAAATACAGTATATAGACGTAGAAGGATACAAAACGCAGGGGTCTTTTATATATAAAAGAAAGATGTTTAGTTGCGCTACAAAAGGGCGGAAATTGAACATTTAAGAGAATAGTATTTAGATGCGTAACAAAAACACGGGTGTTTGTCGCAGAGACATACAACTCAGTATTGATTAAAAGAATTCTTATAATTATGAATGTAAAAGTTACGGTGACGTGACACTAGCGATGCTGGTCTGAAAAGTCTACACTGAAAAAAATTTGGGTGACATGCTGTTCCGGCGAGTCCTAAATGAAGTGTAGCTGCTGACCTCTTCATTGGATCGGCTGAGTTCTCGTTGTGGGATCGCAGGTAACCCACAGCGAGAAGGCATCGGGCTTATTGAACTCGCGCGACAGCACACCTTTCAACCAGGGCGGGAGAAGTATACGAAATAAAATATGTTTGTCAGTGAATGTGGTTAGACGTAATATTTTATTGTTGTTTCATTTTTAGAAAATCTATTTTTGCATATTGCAGAATTTAGTAAGTAATGAAACTATATTTATATATTTATATTATTAATGTTACTAATTTTATTTTTTTACATCTTGTACATAATCGTAAAGTTAAAAATAAAATATAAAATTTTTTTTTGAATATATCCACATAACAATTTTAATAAATACAAAAATTTCTAATTATAATTGTTATTTTTATGCAATTAAATTAAATTTTCTTACGAATGTGTGTAATTTCTTATTTAATTATTCTTTTTTTATTTAGAATTTATTGTTCAAAAAAAAATTAGTGAAGGAAATATTTGTCCCGATGAGAATGACATTGAAATGTCTGCAACACTAAATAAAAACAGCAGTATTAGTGAAATTGAAATGTCAATATCGAGAGAAAATATAAATTTACGTTGACTGAAAGTAACTATAATTATATTTTCAAAATTTTTATTTTAAATTAAATGAAAACGGTTAATTTAAAAAATAAAAAATGTAATGTTATAAATAAAATAGATATTTATAAAATGAAAGTATAATAAAAATTTCTACAATTTATATATTAATATATATTAATTGAAATACAATAATAATTAATATTCAATTACTAAAAACTACTTCGAGAAAAAAAAAATATTAAACAATAATTAATCTTACACTTCTTTTTAAAATAGATAGATTTAAATTAAATTGTCAACTGAAATAGCTTTTGCCTAAATTTTGTTAACTAAAAAATAGGATATTAATACAATTGTGATTATAAAAAAAATTTTCAGACTTTACTTATTTACAAAATGAGTTGTATCATTTTTTAAATGATCCAGAAAACTTTTTCGGCAAGATTATTTTATCACAATATGCTAAAACAAAATTACTTGACCACAGTCGGTTGAAGGAATTACTTATTGTCAGACAATTAAAGCTTGATCCAATAGATTATAAGTAAGTTTCATAATTTTGCGAATTTTTATTTTTAATTTTTTTATACTTTTGAATGTAACATCAAATTTTTTTACAAATGCAGAATAGCATCCGATCAATTTTTAAAAATGACCGATCAAATTGTTGAACTGTTCCCAACAGAGGACAAAGAAATGTTTTTCGTTCCTTTCAAACCTGACGGTACAGAAAGTAGAAGTACTCGTGGCTGTTTATATAATTATTATAAGTTTTTAAGACGAAAATTACGTTTAACTGGTATTTTGAAATTACAATCTAATTAGAAAAAGGATAATTTGAGCATAGAAGGTATACATTTTTTTATAATAATTTTAATAAAAAGCTCTAATATTTTTTTTAATTTAGATAAAAGTTTTAATTCTTTAACTGATGAAAATCAATCACTCCAATCGGTAGATGTATTTCGTGAATAGCAAAGCAGTATCTACGAACGTTCGAAATTATTATTACAAAAAAAAATTATAAATCCTATATCGAAACATATTTACAAAGTTTCCGATGTATAAAAGATCCAATGCGAATAATTCTGGTAATGATTTGTCATTATTACTACATTTCCATTGAATCTGCATAGATTTTTTAAACTCATAAATGAAATTTTTTTAATAGCTGGAATCAGATTTTATAAATCTAATTAACGAAATGGAAAGAAACAAAAAAATTATTAATCATAACTCTTTCATCCCCTATAAATCGAAAATGATAAGCACGTGGGATTGTACTTCAAAAAAAATTATTAAACATTGCAAAAAGTCTAAAGTGAAAGAAATCAAAGAGTTCTATAAAAATAATAAAAATTTATTGGATACAGGTTGTACTTTAGAATAATAATATTAAAAGATAATATACTAACTTAATAATTACACAGTAATGGTTATGTACAAGATTTTTTAAAAATTTATTTTCAACAATTTTTTATAGTTCTTGGGAAAGAAATTTTTCTTTTATTTTAAAAAATTGCTTGAATATTTACTTATCAAATAAATTTTTTTTAAGAAACCTATGACAAGATTTTTTCACTGTTTTTACTTTCCCTTTATTTAACCGTATCGAAGACTTCTAAAACTGGAAATAAAGTTACTAAATAATTTAGTAAGAACAAGATTTTTAAATCTTTCATACTTCACGTTCAGGTAAAAAATAGTACAAATTTAAAGTTATAAATTTATTTTAAAAAATAGTTATTACGAAGAAAATGTTATTAAATTTTTTATTTGTAGTTGTAAATGTAAATTATGACATATGTATATCAAAAGTTTGTTCTTCTGAATATTTCTTTACAAATTGTAAATTGTAAATTGTAAAATTTTAGGATCCAGGGAACTTAACTGTGGAGAAAAAAATCACGAGGAATGGTTGAAAAATAATTACCAAGTAATTTATCCATAAGTAATTCTATGCGGAAAATTGAACAACATATCCATTTCAATTGTTGTCTTAAATGGGGATAATTATTTCATTTCTGATCCAATTAAGGCTTTAGAGACGTGCTTCAAATGTTTAATAGCACTTAGATCATTTCCATATTTGTGTGACCACTTATGGTATTTCATAGGAAAGTACGTTTATGGATTACAATCTCTGAAGTCTTATGAAGCAGTAACTAAATTTATTGTTGAATTAAATAAAATAGAAATTGAAAATAAATCTAAAACAGTTCATAACGTGGAAATAAATAGAAGCGAAGTTTTAGTTGAACCTTTGTTACTCGAAACAGAAATTCCAATGTAATTTTAAAACTTTTAAAAAGTTTGAATATTTATCTTTCTTTGAAATTGATATTTTAAGTATTATTGTATAGATATATTGCTTTTTACTATACAAATTGTGTATTTGTTAGAAAAACATAAAGTTATTTTGAAAAATAAAATGGATGTTAAATCAATTCTTGACCATATACTTAAGTTTCTTTCATTTTTATACGGCGATCCAAATTATCCCTGAAAAATTGTGCAAGAAGTTGTCAATTTTATCATTGACTTTAATAACACCATTTATTTACCATCTTTAAAAAAAGACATTTTACAAACACTTTCAAAACACGATATTTCCTGCTGTTTGCAGAATGAAATAGAGAAGTGCTTTAAGGTATTAGTCGCGTAAAATCATTTTCGTCAGATATTTTTTAAATTTTGCATGAGTGTTTCTGACATAATTATCTACAAAATAAGACCATTCCCATCGATTTTGACCGTTCCTAAGCTTTAAAATATCATTTCAAAGTTGATACTGTTTACATGGACGGAGCACCTAATGCATGTAAGGAATTTGCTTTATAATTATTTAAATAAAAACCAGTCGTCAGATTTTAAAATAAAACTACCACATAATACATTCTCATGAAACGAATGCATACAAAAAAACTGAAATTTTTTGACCGTACCAAACTAAAAATATATTAGGAGAAAGTTTACAAAATTTTAAATTATATGAAGTTCCACTGCTGGAAAGCAGTACACTTGGCAACGCTGTAGCGCGCGAATGCATACAAAATTCAAAATCATGCAAAGTACACAGTTAGAAAGTAGGAATATCTCATAGAGTAGAATAAAAAAATAATATATTTAAAATTTCACAACATAGATTAGTATTAAATAATTCTCAATTTTTTAAATTAAATCATATATTTTAAGAAAAATAAGAATGAGAAACGTTAAATTGGTTGGTTATATTTCAACAGTTAAGAAATAAAAACATTTTTTGATGAAATATTTATTTTTTACTTTATAAACCAATTTATAATACATTATTGATGTAAATATTAATTATAAATAATTAAAAATTAGTTTTCAAAGAAGCATACTTGAATTTTTTTTAATAATATTCACATCTTTAATTATTAATTATTCTTAGTAAGTCTCATACTTTTAAAAAGTTTAAGCATTTATATACATAATTATTAATCATAAATAATTCAAAAATAGCTTTTAAAGAAGCTAAACACTTTTTGTGACTCTAACATTCAGTAGCACTGGTACATTCAGATTGCGACGTTGCCGCGATCAAAACTTTAGTTCTACACGTACGAGAACGCGGCGCTCTGAGTGAAACTTACCTGTACCCTTCAAAAAGTTTGACTCAGAACTATACCTCTTGCTAAGCACAGACTGAGTCAGACTCAAGACAAACTTTTGGTTAGAGCCGGCGCGCGACTAATACCTTAATGATCATGGTGATGTTTTTAATAAAGTTAGAACGAAACACTTAAGATTTGGATTACTAAGGCCGAAAGGTTTCATTGATTATGAATTATTCTCAATAGGTTCTTCTTTTATCATAAAATATATAAATAACGACCTGAGATTAATTCCAGAAATACTTCATGCTTTAAATGTACATTTAAGGAAAAGTTTCAAATTTTTGTAGAAATTCCAGGAATGTTTAACGAAATATTGCAGCACATTGAAAAATTAAAAAAAGAAAAAATAATAATTACAAACATCATGCAGGAAAAACTTTGGCAAAGAAAATATTCGAAAAATGAAGAAGGAAAAATAGTTTTACCCTTCAATATTTTCTACGACGATTTGGGAGTTGGTAATGCTTTAGGAATCCATGCTGGTAAAAATAAATTCGGAATAGTGTATGCACATATAGCATGTCTTCCTAATCATATTGTCTCACGACTTGAGAGCATCATTTTTGCAAATATTACACAGGCACACAAAAAAAAAGTTGTCTGTTTCTTGAACTAGACATATATTTCCTATAGTATTTTGGCCCGCTGAAACCGAATCTGTGCTCAGAATTGCTCCATCACCCTCAGTTTTTTTTTAAATCGACCAAAACCACCCTTAAATGGACAAATTCACACTTCGGAGATAAGAAATAAATCAACTTATTTTTTTAAAAAATCGAATTTTACATCTAAGAAACTTTGCTCCACTAACTCAAAAACAAAGCCAGCATTGATCCAGCACCCCCTGAATTTTTTTAATTGAAAAACTACCCCTAATCTGCAGAATCAAATTAAGGAGATAAAACAATAAAATAACTGATTGACAAATTTTATAACCAGATATTTTTACTCCAGCAATGCAGAAACAAAGCTAGAAATGCTCCCTCACACACTAAATTTTTTTTTAAATCGAAAAACCACCCTTAAATAGAAAAATTCAAATTTAAGAAGTAAAAAAATATTAAATTACCGGCTTTTTTTTAAAACAGAACCTTACATGTTTGTAGTTTTGCTCTACTAACTCAAAAAAAACCAGCATTGATCCATCACCCTCTAAATTTTTTTAATCAAAAAAACTACCCTTAATCTGAAGAATCAAATTTAGGAGGTAAAACAATAAAGTAACTGATTAAAAAAGTTTATAACCAGGTATTTTTACTCTAGCAATGCGGAAACAAAGCCAGAAAAGCTCCCTCAACCTCTAAAATTTTTTTAAATCGAAAAAACTACCAAAGAATCAAACTTAGAAGGTAATACAATATAATTATATTGTGTTACCTCCTAAGTTTGATTCTTCAGGTTAAGGTTAGTTTTTTTGATTAAACAAATTCAGAGGGTGATGGATCAATGCTGGCTTTATTTTTTTGAGTTAGTAGAGCAAAACTACATACATGTAAGGTTCTGTTTTAAAAAAAAGCCGGTAATTTAATATTTTTTTACTTCTTAAATTTGAATTTTTCTATTTAAGGGTGGTTTTTCGATTTAAAAAAAAATTTAGAGGGTGAGGGACCATTTCTGGCTTTGTTTCTGCCTTGCTGGAGTAAAAATATCTGGTTATAAAATTTTTTAATCAGTTATTTTATTGTTTTACATCCTGAATTTGATTCTTCAGATTAGGGGTAGTTTTTTCGATTTAAAAAAATTCAGAGGGTGGTGGATCAATGCTGGCTTTATTTTTTTGAGTTAGTAGAGCAAAGCTACATACATGTAAGGTTCTGTTTTAAAAAAAGCCGGTAATTTAATATTTTTTTACTTCTTAAATTTGAATTTTTCTATTTAAGGGTGGTTTTTCGATTTAAAAAAAAATTAGTGGGTGAGGGAGCATTTCTGGCTTTGTTTCTGCATTGCTGAAGTAAAAATATCTGGTTATAAAATTTGTCAATCAGTTATTTTATTGTTTTATCTCCTTAATTTGATTCTTCAGATTAGGGGTAGTTTTTTCGATTTAAAAAAATTCAGAGGGTGGTGGATCAATGCTGGCTTTATTTTTTTGAGTTAGTAGAGCAAAACTACATACATGTTAGGTTCTGTTTTGAAAAAAGCCGGTAATTTAATATTTTTTTACTTCTTAAATTTGAATTTTTCTATTTAAGGGTGGTTTTTCGATTTAAAAAAAAATTTAGTGTGTGAGGGAGCATTTCTAGCTTTGTTTCTGCATTGCTGGAGTAAAAATATCTGGTTATAAAATTTGTCAATCAGTTATTTTATTGTTTTATCTCCTTAATTTGATTCTGCAGATTAGGGGTAGTTTTTCAATTAAAAAAATTCAGGGGGTGCTGGATCAATGCTGGCTTTGTTTTTGAGTTAGTGGAGCAAAGTTTCTTAGATGTAAAATTCGATTTTTTAAAAAAATAAGTTGATTTATTTCTTATCTCCGAAGTGTGAATTTGTCCATTTAAGGGTGGTTTTGGTCGATTTAAAAAAAAACTGAGGGTGATGGAGCAATTCAGAGCACAGATTCGGTTTCAGCGGGCCAAAATACTACAGGAAATATATGTCTAGTTCAAGAAACAGACAACTTTTTTTTTGTGTGCCTGTGTTATATTTGTTAAAGATAAAGTGAAACGTAGTAATGGAGAATGTTTTAAAAAATTAATTGAAGAAATTAATTTCTTGCAAATGGAAGGAATTTATATTACTGTAGATGGTGTTAGGTGGCACATTCATTTTCAATTAATGTTAATTATTGGAGATAATTTAGGTCAAAATGGGATTTTTGGATTTACTGAATCTTTTAATGGATCAAATTGGTGTCGCATTTGTGAAGCGTCTTCAGATATTATTGTATCTTTAGCAGAAGAAAAAGAATCGTTCTTAAGAAACAAACAAAAATACGAAAAAGAAACAAATTTATTGACCAATGGTATTAAGGAGTCATGCGCGTTTCCTGAAATATTAAATTTTCATAT